GTTTACTTGGAGAGTTGCTTGTAGTGGTCTCGTCTGTCCCAGAAGGTTTACCAATTCATTTTATAAATCTTGCATGACTCGTGGTAGGGTAGGTGCTAATCCTTGTGTCCATGTTGCCACCAACATTTGTTCGTCCGCATCTTCTAATTCAAGTCCTCTTCAATGCCACGTCTAAGGCATCTTTAAGAGGATCACCAAAATGCATACACGCAATGTTAAGAGCTGTTTGAGTTGTGCTACTAAGGCCGTTCCGGTTTTTCTTCTGTCCCCTTTTCGGTTTAATCACGCCAATATCAATTCCTCCTAAAATTGTTTCTGAATTTTTTTATTAGATGGGGCCGTTCTTGTTTATTTGAAACTGCCTTGTAGATTTAATGTCGACACCCCTCTCCTCAGCTCCTGCAAAAGTTAGAGATGCGGTCACCATCGTCATTCCTCGTGGACCGATTGGTTTTGAATTCTCAATTAAGTCGCAGGGTGAGTAGCTTATTTAACTCCCTTTCGTGCAGTAATTACTCTTTCCTTTAAACACTGTCTAACTGAAATCTTGTTGATACAACTATAATGCTAACCACCTAGGTTTCCTTAAAGCAGTACTACTTGATATCGTGTTCTAGTCTTTTGATACCTTTGTTATGATGCATGGATCGGTGACATCACTGCTAATGCTTCAGGTTGTTTGATCTTGGCGTTTTCCACCCCTTCTACAAATGTTACACATATTTGTCCTGTTTTTTTCGAAAATAGAATTTTCTTATTATTTGTCGTCATACATTTAATTATGAAATGGAATTCATGGTTTTTGACTTATTTAAATTTTGATGTCTACCTATTGCATTTAAGACCAGATGTCACTTACTTATATTCAGACCGCACTAAATTTTGATAACCAAGCTGAGCAAAATTCTTCCCCTTTCCATGCACTTTTCAAAATGAATAATCGCATAGTTTTAGTTTCATCTGGCGTGCCCTTTGCCACGAAGATGGTCAATTTTTTAATGACTTCACAGGATGGTAAATGCATCCGTTATCTCTTCTGGGTTCCTCTCTTTAATAAGGCTGTCAAAATGCAATCCGTTGATCCTTTTGGGCAATTTTAATTAATCAATTATAACTACTTACATCACTATTTTTGTACTTTGGCAATTCTCTAAAATACCTAGTGATGGTTTTTGCAGTAATTGTTGTTGAGTTTTTAGGCATAATCTAAGGTTAAATCAACTTATCTATTTTACTGCCTTGCATCATCGCTGCTTCATGTCTTTCAGGTCCTCGCATCGTAATTTCAAAAGTTCGCCAAGGTGGGACTGCTGAGCTCGCTGGTCTTAAATGCGGTAGTATTTTACAAGCCGTCAATCAGCAACCAATTAATGGACTCTCTTTCCTTCAAGTTTCCAACATGATTCGGCGCACTAGGTTAGATAAGCAATCTAGAACTCCAGTTTCTATCGAAATATCTCTCTCACTATCGTAACCACAACCCACATTCCAACAATAACAAAATAGAGACTTGACTGTGAATTGGGCTACTGAGTTCCAAGTGGCGCACATCATGTCAACATTCTGTGGACTTCGCCCTACTATCTGTGTGTCTGAGCGCCAGCGCATGCCACGTGTCTGATGGTTTAATTGTTAAGCCGTGGCCACTTTATGCACCACTCAATGTTGTTGGTCTGATGTCACATAACCAGTGAATTTATTAGCGAGAGCTAGTTTTAGCATTATTTCTTAATAGTGTTTTCATTGGGTGCTCTTGTCTAACTGTTTTATACTGTTGTATGATGATGTTAGAAAGCGCACATGCTGAGCACTCTGATATGCCTGATTTTGATTATCTTTTTTAATATATTATAGTTATTCTTTGATTGGTCATATGGGGACAGGCGGCAACAACTTGGTCCTATGAGATATGTTGTTGAGGGATTATTAAAAATTTTTTCGCTTAGAAGTGTCATCTCATGCTGGCAAAATTTGTATCGATATTATCAAGCCAAATCGGTAATACAAATGCAGCTATGAGCATAATTTAGCTGCTATTATATGGCTTTTCATCGAATTATCTTTGGAATAAATCATTACACCTCTAAGTGACGCGGATGGGCAAGTTGACATTTCCAACTGTTGTTTAAAAATCATCCTTTCTTGGTAGTAGTTATTTACCAATTTCATTTTCCTCAACCCCTTCATCCACACAAATAAAGTCAGTGCTGGTTGATGAGTAAAAATTACCTCGATTTTCGCGGAATATGACTCAGCATTGATCTTTTATTATTCACTTTTAATGCTACAATCAGCGGAAGCTGCCTCTCATTTTCAGTGGAATCTCTTACCTTTTTACGTAGTGGCTTTACAGCAGAAATATCCGTGATTGAGCCTGAAGAAGCTGCGACTGTAAACAACGATGACTCCTTTGTTCCCGGTCCTGCATCCTCTTCTCGGTACAATCTTGATGGGGTCCTATCATGTAATTCACCTTCTAAATCCTCAGCCGCAAGCGCAAATCCCTCACACTTCCGCTCTAAGGTGAGTGTATTTTGAGCTTTATCAGACGGACAAGAAGTTATTGCAGTTTTCGACATACCACAATGCAATGATTTGTAGGCACACGTCTATCTGTTGGTGTAGTACTCTATTAGGATCTGTACTACTTTCTTGTTACTTTGAAACCTCATCAACTATCCTTTTAATCTGTTGGGTGTGACTTAAGCTTGTCTGCCTTACGAGCTGAGTTTAATCCGGTTCCAAGGCTGCAGAGACTTCTCGTCAAAGTTGTTGTACAGCAATTGATGAATGAAGACGCGATGGTGGAGCAAAGTGGTTGGAAGTGATTTAAGTAAAGTGAACCTGGTAACGATTCATTCAAGGGGCAGTTGCATCAGGTTCAGGAAGATGCTGTGTTCTTGACGGTGATGAAGAATGACGCGTCATTATTGATAAAAATAATTAAGGGTTAATGCGCTATGAGATTGTAGTAATGTTTAGTGTGAGTGATGGAACAGTTTGTTTGCGTCTACGTCAATTGAAGGTTGGTAGGCAAATGGACAGATGTGCTCCACTTAAATGAATGACAGTAAGTTTCAAAGGCCATCAATTTGTTTCTCAGTATATTCAAGTACCTTATAAAATCGCCCCGCCTTTAGCTTTTTGGTCAACTGACTTGTAATGTGAATTGGCTTCTATATTCAATAGCGTTAGGGGTGTGGAAATATGAATAGTTACTCTCAAACGATCCAACATCCCAGGCTTTTTTGATGCACTACAGACGGAATCGTTCACCCTGAATTTCTTGTTAATATCCTAGCAGTTGTGACAAATCTATTTGCTTGATGCGATATAATTGAAGGGTGTGCAAAGGGAGGTCCTTTTCTGGAAGTAGTTATAAGTAGTGAATCAAGAGTCCATGTCTCATATGGCAAAACTGACTTGTGATGGGATTTGCACACTGGGATGTGGTGGAGTAGATACTGCTGTCTTTGGTGATAATGCCATTGGTTAACCACCGTTTTCTGGGTTTTACGTGACTGTGCGCAAGACGTTTTGGGGAAGTGGTGGCCACGCTTAGCTTACGTCTCTTTGGGAAATATTTACTGATCATTGCATAAAACGTTGTAGTGGGCTTCCTGGAAATAATTTGTACCATAAATCCGCTCCAACTTATTTGGTTAATTTAACCAGTCGCCAGTTGATTGTAACAAAGGCCGTTGCTTTTATTTCCTTTTATTTACCAGTTTGTACCGGTTCTTCTTAGGCTCAGCAAAATGCTCTGGATCTGTTCGTGTCTAACTCCTTCTGTTCCTTGTGTTTACCTACCCTCACTTCATGGTGCCCTTTGATTGTCTTCCTATAATGCTTATCGTATATTTCAAATAATTGAGTGTTTTGGCTTGACGTCTTTCCATTCGTCCATTGTGAGTTCCATTTTCATAGGGGCTAGTTTTCTTTCCAGTAACCTTGTCTTTCCCCGGGGACCTTCAGAGTCTTAGCTGTAGCGATATTTTTTCCTTGGATTCGTATTCTAGTTAATTCTTTTGCCACCTTGAAATTATCTTGTGGGCAAAAGTTACGGAAAGTAGTGGCGTATCACTTTGACGCCTACGCTTTACGCGTAATCAACATTTGTCGCAGTGTCATGCACATTAGAAGTCTACAATCGCGTTCCGGAGCAAGATTGGTTGCTTTTCAAACCAATTATTTGTGCACTATGGAATCGTGCATGCACGCAAGGCTATCTTGACTAGTGATATAATCTGGTGTGCTCAAACTAGCGTTCTAATGTACATATTTGAGGCGATCTACATTCCTTATTCCATTCGTTTTTCTCCTCGAGGTTCAAAGTCTACTAACCATTTTAATTGCGTAAATCCCATTGTGTACTGGTTCCTCGTACATTACCGTTTCACTCCAGGGTGTAATTTAAACTTTCAAGTATTGATGGTGAATATGGTGACTTTAGTGCCTACGATTGTTGAAACTACGAATTCAATATGATTTCTTCTTTGAGCATAAGTCATTTTCGTCTTTACTCGACCTGATCGCAGCATGTATTCATGTGTGTGACCTAATTTGTTATTTGTGTACTCTTCGGACATCGGCACGGGGTTGACCAGTTGTCCGCTTTTCACTGCTATTTAATGTTTCAAACCCCGAGAATTTTGAATTTTTGGAATTTGAAACGGTATCTTGTTCATCGGCTGAAAAACCATGCTGTCATTTCTTAAGTCCATGGGAGGAGTCGTTGTCTGCTGACTCGATATTCTACGAGCCCTTTTGATGCGGTTTCTTAGGTACAAAAATAGGCGCATCATTGATAAGGTGTTGACAAAATGCCTTATTTTTAAATTATACAGTTTTTGGCGAAGACTATGCTTAACGTTAAATCATTTTGCTGTCTACATGAGAACAGTTTGAGTCATAGGCACTTTTTTTTACGAATTCCGTCATCGTTCCTTAAAAATGGTTCCTTTTGTTGGCAAATTCGCATTCATTTTTTTGCAAGAAATGAACTCCTGATTTGATTCCATCAACCCGCCACCATTTGCTTATCTGGCTCACTGCACTGTTAGTTCTTGAATTGTTCAATTTTTTCCTCAGTCCAACTGCTGAATGGTGGAAGCAGAAACAGTTGTTCAGCAGTTTGAAATCCATTTCCATTTGCAAGTAATTCTCCAAGACGTGTTATTTGATTCGTTAAAGTTTAATGATATGGCCAAAAGTGTGCGAAGTGGGGTTCATGGGAATACCGTACCTTACGACAAAAAACGCAAGAAAAATAATTTCCGCCTTTTGACCACATGTGGTACACCTCAAATTAAGTGGGAATAAGTGAATATCTCGGGAAGCGATTACATCACCCTGGTAGTAACTAGTCAAACTTGTATTTGCAAAGGTTGGCGTATCATTAATAACCCTGCCCCTCTCTCTGCCACGAGACTCTAAAGTTAGGCTTTGGGGAGACAAATGGTGTGAATTGGAGACGCATTGCCAACTGAGCATTTGCCAACGTAGATAAACAACTATCCTTAGGCAGGTCTTAGCGATATGGGGGGCCGTGCTCGTCTACCGACCGACGCCTTGGGCTGTAGCTAACCCAAACCCTTCGTATACTGAATCCATGTAAGCTTAAGGCTTACGTTTGGATAGACACGAGTATGAATGCTTTCATCCCAATCCATATTTATCATCAGTATCTCTATTGTCTTTGTCGTTATTGCCATCGTATTTTCCCAACCATTGACCCAAATGCCCATTTAGTTAGTTGGGCGAAAAACAATTTAGCCAACGGTCGTGTCGATTGACTGGAGACTCAAGTTAGAAGATGGATCCTGCAGAGGTTTTGACAAAGTTGGTTAGATCTCCAGTTTGAGCAGCTTGACTTGTTTGGTGACACTCTTGAGATGAGAGAATATACGCAGGTGGGGCTTGAAGGGTTTGAGTTTGAGAGGGTGACATTTTTAACTCCTTTGGGTATAAATGGAGTAATTATACATTTTGGTGGAACTGTGAATTTAGTCGATGTATCGTGAAAACTATTCATTGCTAAAATGGGTCCGTTGTGTTACACATTTAACGTTTTGAATGCCTTCTCATTTTGGAATACAAACCATCTTTCCTTTAGGTACAGTCATTGTACCTGAAATGGTTTAATTTTTATTTTTCGAAAATGTCGTGCTCATTAAATAATATGTAATGCGCAGTAATTTCACTTTTTTAACCCTTGCCAGAATGCGCACAATTGGCTCGCCTAGGTCTGCTTCACTTGGTCTTTTAGCGTGAAAATGCTCCTGCAACGAGGGTTGAACTGCTGCAAGGTAGCCGGAGTTCATCTCCTCTTGAGATGCAACAACGTAATGATGCTTTTGGTCGAGTCAATGGTGTGTTCTCGTTTTGGAAATTCATCCCTAATTTAGGTAGATCGGAAACCCCATTATACGAGTTTATTCTAATTTTTTTCCTTCCAGTACCACCAGTACCGTCTGATCTGCGACTCCAATTAAGGCAGGATTATTCTTTAACAAGCGCTGCGGACGGCTACCTGGTGAGTCCTCGTGGTCTCCGACGTCAAGCTCTTCTCTTCTCGAAAGATTCCAATTACGTCACAGAGCCTTCACCTCGTTCTTCTTCCTCCGCATACGATGTATGTGCACTAATATCTTTTAAGTAGCTATTTCCATTTCGTCATCGCTGATAATCATGGTGTCCCTTTATAGCTGCACCACCTTGCAGACATTACACTGTTCAATTCCACTTCATCATCCCAACTAGTCGGAACACCGTATTCCTTCTCAATTTTCACTGGTCACTTTTTCGCAGTGTCTATTTTTTTTAAATTGTGATGAACTATATCCAATATGCCTGCATCTTTGGTTATATCTGGTGTACTAGATTGTAAGTGAACAGCAGAGGTGGTCTTATGATGTTTATTCTTTCCTGCATAATTAACGTGGTGTGTGCTATTGCAATGCAGGCAAGTTTAACCCACTCCAAATTTCTATTTATTATTGACACTGAAAGAAAGAACGCCCAAGGGACTTGTAAAATGTTGCTCTATTTCTCTATTCTCATGCTTATAGAAAAAGGCCTCAGAGGGGACTCACATGCTCCATGAATCTCTTGACAATATGATTTCTGCTTTCGACTCCGCATTGAAGGTGGTGCATCGAGAGTCATCTGCACCACCAGCACCCACTCCACGGCTTGTACGACGTCAGGCTTACCCTTCCTCCTCCTCCGTGACGTCATTATCGTCGTCGCCGTTAGTGCGCGACAGGAGCATCAGGACAACGCCGGGGGCAAGCGATGGACCCCGTTTCCTCCCCGCACACCTCTCTTTCACCGTCCCGCACGTGACCCCTCCCCAACCCACCTTTTTGCCCAAGCTCTCCGTTCGACGTAAAATCTCCTCCCCTCTTCTTCAGACCGAAAAAAGCAGCGGTTTCCGTACGTTTTGTAGTCCACTCTCACCACCGCTTTTGCAGCATAAACCTACTTCCGGTTCGTTTTTTGTCATTCTTCTCTGTTAATGTGAAATGTGGCAGAGTGGTAAACGAGCCAATAATTGAGGACTTTTTCAATTCTAGGTGAACCACGTTTCACAAACTTATCAGCTTACATGGATGAGTTAACAGTTCCCTCTGCCCAAGACCACGGGGATTTTGGAAACACTGCCTCTGATAAATGCAGCTTATTAGGACGAAATGAAATTTCCTCTTCCCTTCGCCACCTTCCTTTGCTGGCTAACACCACACTTACACTCTCTGATACCGATCAAACACGGTGGGTCTGCCAAGCTTAGTCACTTCAATGTTACATTTTCTTAATGTGATTCTCATCGTATTTGAAATGTATCGCACCGTTTGTCTGATGCTGCCTTACCATGTAAGAGGTTAACATACGTTTGTAACCAGCATCGTGCGAATTTATGCTTGCTTGTGTTCATCAGCCACGAACTGATTGTCGCCCTATTATGAATGAGTTTAATTAGCTCTATCACATAAAAGGTACAGCTAGTTGCATTTTCATGGTCATGTTCACCCACTGTCCGCACGCCCCGGTCGCATAGCTCTATTTGGCGTCGAATTTATGACCCGAAAGGTCTTGTAATACGTTTTGCAATTCCCTTTGGCTTCTTATGGCATCCTTATCGCTTATCGTTATGTCCACCTCTTTCATTTGGGTTTTCATTTCGTAGTCTGAAGTCAATTAAACGGCTTGCTACTACAGTTAAAACCATTTCTCTCAAAATTTAGTTTTACACTTGTACCTTTTGACAACAAAGCGATTGCACATATACTGGGAACTAACCTAATATCTTGAAATTGTCATGTTTGTAAATTACCTGTAATATTTGTTCTAGAGTATTTGAGCAGAACAATAAGCTCGGTGCCAACTTGTCCATCTGCCTGCTTGTGATGATGGCTCGCTCAAGAGCAATACTCTCTCGTTAGTAACTTTTCCCAATCACTGATACATGTTTCCAGGCTGCTCAAGTTGATCAAACCGTCGTCTGCATTCCACCTTCGAGTGCTAAGTGCTTAGGCCCAAACACACCTAAAAGCGAGCAAGAAATGTCGTTGAGAACCGAAGTCTGGTCAATGTCAACTTCATTTCGTGTTGTTACTTCATGGCGATAATATGATGCTCGAATAGATGACTTTCTCCTGGGCTTCGAATGAAGTTGGACATATTCGTTGTTGACTTTGATTATTGCCACCTTTTTCGCTCTTGTAGGTGTTTTTGGTCGGCCCACTTACCAAGGCTAGAACAGGATCAACCTTCATTCGTTAGTCCGTATAGTGCATCATGAACTCTTTAACTTATCGTCTGCCTAACCTTTGGCTGAGAGTTACGTAGAATTTTCATTATGTTGCCGGGTTTTAGATGATACCAAGGGCTGTGAATTTAGTTTTCCCCATTTAAGGAAAAGTAGCAATAGATTCTGGCAAAGTTATAGGTGGAAACTTATTAGACGCGCCAGTGCGTACGTGTCAGTGCCTCTTTTTTATTGGCTCTGCGTGGAAGTTGTCCGCGGCGCCTTGAGTAGTGGTCGTCAAGATTCCTAATTCAGTCGCCTGAAAAATGTCCGGCGATTTTCAGCTGGCTCGTTGCTTCCGTCGTCGCTTGACAAGTTTTTTAAAAGTTTCGTCGACACCGAGTATTTATTCACATTCTCCGTTTATCTCCTCTCCATTTACGGATGCTGTATCTCCTCCACCACGTAAAATCAAACGGAAATCGCTTGTACCGCGTATTCATTGTCTGGACCCTGAACCGACCTTGACATCGGCATGTTCTTCGGCTGCTTCAACGTCTCTTCAAAAACCATTAAATGCATGGCGTCGTCAACGCTCTACCAGACGCAACGATGACCTACCTTCGGCTAAAAATGCAGATGATTTACGCACTGCTGAAGCCAGTCGACAATCTCGCTATCGGCTCCTGAAGGGGTTTGCTCATGGTGAAGTATGTCTGTGGCTTACCTAAAGTTCTTTAAGTGCCTGGGTTTATTCGAAAAGTATCCTCTAATGTACTATGCCCTCAAACTCTGGCTACTTAACATTCATTTTGTGATAAATCTCATCTGCTCGTGAATTTAAGTTTAATATTCCCCTTGACAACACAAGCCTGATAAATATATGGTTTATCCCACCTAGTTCAAGGTGTATGCCCTCGGTGGGTCATATTTTTGTCTTGCTAGTAGGTGCTATGGGAGCATGATTGACTTCTTTCACTTAGACTAAGACTGAAACCGAATGTTTATTTGCTTGCCATACCTCTGCCTCTTAAGCCACTTGATGACATCTGTCTTGTCAGAAGACTCAAAAGGCCTCGTCTTCTTCGAATCCAGAGTGTTGCATGTATTGTGAGCTGAATGGGCTTAGTCTTCCCCAATTATTTTACTCTGATTAATCCTTGTAGCAGTTCCAATCGTTTAAAAATCGGGCTGTTCATATTAAGGCTTCCAATGCAATTTTATCTTACAACAATATTTTATTGCTCTTTTTTACTATTACAGGCTCTAAACACCGAACCGAGTTTCTACAAGTCGGAGCAGTGTCTTTGCAAAGTCGCAAAAATTGACGGAAGGGTTTGTTGTAATCGTTTTGATTAATCTGTTCAACATCGTAGGCATTAACTCCTGCCATATGGAGACGGTTCTACATCTACATTGGAAATGGTTTTGTTCTATTCATATTGGCTTCTAACGACTGCCACAGCTTCAAAAAGAGTACCGTATGTCTCTTCCATTCTGTTATAGATTTGAATAAATGACAGTGTGACTCAAAATCAAACGATTTTTACAGCCTGTTCGGTTTTGCCACGACGACTCTTCACTGGCAAATGTTGTGGATCCCTTCACTCCAGACGGTGTCTCATCCAGTCGTATTGTGCTTCCGTTACATGGTCTTCAGTGGTCTAACCTTCGTCATCTCCCTTCCGATTTGCCCACTTGGGGCTCTTCGTCCTCATCAGCCTATAGACTTCATTGTTCGCCTTCAGAGATGTTTGAGTCCGAGGCAAATGCCGTTGACGATCTTCAGTGTTACTTATTCGAGCACGAGGACAATGGAGGAACGCAAATCACTGCCATATTCTCCAACAGACAGGCAGCCGCTTCGGCACTCAGCTTGTGCCAGGTAAAGCTTAGTTGTCGCAGGAGTGCGTGTTAGGCTTTGGGTCGAAGAAATATTTTAACCATTTACTTGTGTAGCGGTATGGTGGAGTGTGTAAAGAGAATAATCCACCAGATTCATCAGGCCTCTCCTACTCCCTTTCACTGCATACCGGGTTAGCTGTATATCATCCCTCTCCTAATGGTGGTGGCGGTAGTGGCACTCTTCGCCGCACTCGAAAAAGCCTTCCAGACTCAGCTATGCGTCGAAGATTTGCTGCTGAATGCAGCCATCAAGAAGGGAAACTTGCTAGAGGCAAACTGAATGGTGCGTTGTGAAGCGACATCCACATTCCATACAATGTCTATCTATTAGATCACATGAAGCCAATAAACCATATCTGGTGGCATTTCAGAGGGAGCTTCGTGCGGTAGAGAGGATCCTACTTTCATAACGACAGCGGAGCGTTTGGTTGACACGAATGATACAGTTGGGGTGGATGGAACATCGCGATTCCGCTTCCTTTCCTCCGCTGCTGCTCCCTTCTTCAAGGGCATCGCAAATGCTCTTAGCAACTCTCGGGCAGCTCCCACGCTCACCACCCCTGCCCCTCCTCCGCCCCCCTCTAATCCGGAGGAACTGGCTCGTCGAATTGCTGCGATCATTGGCGAGCCACCGGATTTCTCCGACCTCAACAACCCCGGTCCTGTTTTTGGTGCTCCCCTCGAGAACCAAACCCCTAGCCCCGATTATCCCGTATGTTTAATTTTTCGTTAAATCGTAGCTCTGTAGTGAGAGGATGCGTACTAATTACTCTATAATGTAGGGAGTTCCCCTTATCCTACACACTATGGTGATTGCACTTGAACTTCATGGTTTGCACCACGTCGGGCTGTATCGCGCTCCAGGAAGGCAGAAGGAAATAAATCGATTTGTTTGCCTCGCCAATTTGGTACGTGACGATTTTTATGTCCTCTCTCTCGCGCTTTATAAATCAATGTATAAATTTATCCCCTCTAGACATCCCTTGATCCCAACGCAATGCTTCACCTCGATACTTGGAGAGATATTCGAGCTTTGACTGGTGTGATCAAGACTTTCTTCCGCCGCCTTCCTGAACCCATTTTTGATCCAGGTATATCTATTTATACACAAAAAACTATCTTTATAGTCTCGTGGGGACCACTGGCCTCTATTGTTCCAGAGAGTTCCGTAGGATGCACCAAGACTTCGCTGGCTTATGCACTACTAGCTATTCTTGCCAAACTCAATAAGGTAACTAAGTCTTGAGTAACCCAGTAGTTCGTCGTTGTAGATGGTAGTGAAGCTGAATTTATAATCTACTGTAGATCCGAACAATATCTGGTCCACTGACTTCATTGGACACCTCTAATAGAGTAAATAATATAAATTATGAAAAGTCGATGCCCTCCTGGCGTTTTGCTACGCTGGATTTCCTTTTTGGCCATCTTCGTCGTTTGGCGGCTTTGGAAGAAGCTAATCAGTGCTCTTTTGAATGCATCGCCATCTGCTTCGGGCCCTCTCTCTTCCGAGGAGACTCCTCTCTTCAACCCAAGTTCAACAAGGTCTGTCTATTTTTTTTTCAAACACTTCCGGCTTGTTTAAATTAGGCGGTTTTACAGTCCAGGAAGTTGGTATGTTGGTATTTTCAGACTGGAGGAGAGTCGGGAATAGTAAGGTTGTTTTTTCACATATAGATCCTCGAGGTCATGCTACAGCACTGGCCATGGCTAGTGGCGGGTTTTTTGGAGACCACTGCCGACCACGATAATATGGATCACAATTCTTCATCCCATCATCCCACCCTGGCACAAACAGAAACTTATGTGCAGCATTTTTTCGTCAACGGCGTCAACTTCAGTGAGGAGTCTTACTTCCATTTCCGCCCTTTGGAAACCGCCAAAAGGGCGGCATATTTTTCAAACGACTTAGCGGAAGGTTTGTAATTCCCTTCCATGCTCATTTGTTTTTCAATTGGATTTTTTTGCAAGTTATCACAGCTTTGATGCTTTGTAGACGTTCTTACTGCGGTTGAGGATATTTTCGTACGAGCCGGTCTCTCTGTGGGGTCTATTTCTAGGAGTGAGTCCCTCAAGAGCATCAACAGAACTTCTGATGAGGACGGGAGCCTTTTGGACGTAATAATGCGGTCTCTTTCTGCCTCTTCGGATCTCGATAGTCAGAAGGTAGTAGCCTCACCGAATTTCGAGGGAGGCCACGATGCGGTAGTAGAGCAACAGTGTAGCTGTGATCAATTAAATGAAGCTTCATCCTTCTCACCACACATACAACGAGTAGACTTCTGAGCGGCTCCTCTTTTCACACAGTCATTGTAAATGTGTGTTTATGTGTGTACATGGCTTTCTTTGTTATTTTGATTGGCGGTTGTTGTACATTATGGTTTGTATTATCCTGAGTGTTTATGAGTCCATCGACTTTTGCCGGCTTGTTTCTCCCTTTTATTTAGGACTTATTTTCGAGTTGAGGTTACAGGTCTGTGTTTTGTGTTCTTAAATGTGATATCGATGCGTGAATGCCAAGATTAATGGTCGCACTGTCGACGAGGTCTTAGTAACATAGTTTATCTCAATTTATGTTTGTAGAGTAGGTATACAACCAGTTAGAGCAGTGGTTCTTTAATCCTTACCCTCCTGAGTCGTTTTAACAGCGCTTTTTCCATGTGTTGACTTCACTCCTGTGGGAATGCGCGTTTTGCACGTGGACATGTGGGGAAGTCAACATTCCACCAAAGATCACGCATGTCGAGGTTACAGTAAAGGCGACGTGATATTTCCTCTCTGTATGCTCGGGGCGACTTCTCCCGTCCCCAATTACATGATTGTATGGACCCTTTCGATGTATCATAATCCCTCTACAATTGGTATCCTCACACCTTTTGATTTGGATCAGGTAGCACAAAATGGCGGTAGAAATGCAAGAATTTTTAAATATTGTCACTAAATTTTTAGTTACACAGGAATGAGTTGTTATGCAGCGAGCTGGGTGTTCCCGGTGAAGGTAGAAAACATCAACCAACGTCTCTACGGGTTCCAGAATCGCACTTATAAGTGCCACAGTGGTTGAAGTCATTGGGCGGAGTGGGTCAGTTTTCAGTCTACAATTTGAGGAGACCACATCAAACATTCCCGTCCTCCCCGTCACAGCCTCCGCTGAGTGGTCTGGCCTCCAGCACATGCCAATGGCCTCAGCCCTTCTGTACGTCGGCAATACACTTTCTGCACCAGCATTGTTACGTCTTCCGACTTCAGAGAAGACTCAGAGCGCTGTGCTACTGCCATCCCTGTAGTGGTCGGGTGGGCTTACGATTTAGAAACGAAAGATCAAGTAAGTGAGCAATGTTTTACATTGTGATAGAAAGCGTAAATGTGGTTGCAATCTTTGCTCAAAAGCATTATTATGAGGCAAAATTCTAGTGCCAAACAAACTAAGTGTATTCGAATTTTGTAGTCCCTTGTTGAAATATTTGGTGATTAAACTACCTTTATTTGGGACAAGGACCAGAATCACTGTTGTAGCTTGGGTCAGCTTATTCGCTTCCTCATTAATGATACACAGCAGATGACATCTGACAGATCTTGATGGGCAACACATCAATCTGAGAAGTACAAGAGCGGCGTGTGTTAGCCATACCGCCAATCATAGCTAAAAGGGAGATATCATAGTGACTGCTGATATAACTGAATGTTGATAATCTACGCAATTTCAAATGACATTTCTATCGATAAATAAGCAAAGGTCTTGCTATTCATTCAACAGCTCTCAGCACATTAAAGAGTGAAACCGAGCTAAATGCTCCCCAATATTTGGGGCGTGATGTAATAGGCCGCGCAGGAGGAGGAGACACGTGTTTTGATTGCCAGGTAAGAGCGGTGAGAGTGGGGTGGTGGGAAGGGCGCGGGCTTAAGCATGGAGTGGAGTGATGACCTGAGGCCACGCACATGGCGCATTCATGCGTAAAATGAGACGTCGAACAACTAAGGACGAGTGGATCCAACATACCAGCTGCAATTATGTAAACATGTGATTAATCCCGCCAATGAAGTGGCATCCCTGTGCTGCACCTCTCCACAAAGCAATGAAGTGGATTCAAATTTCGGAAATAGTAATAAAAAATTGCCGTCTTCCTTAAGAAATCGATGGGTTATCAAGGAGTCACCAACATGAGAGAAAGCAGATACAGATCGCAAACATCGGGACAACATACGATTAAGTACATAACTTGCGTTTGATTAAAGTTTAAAAAAAAATTAGGGAAAAGATGAAATATTTCCCAGGAATTCCTACACTGACACGGGATTGCGTACGTATTACTCTGGTAAACATCCCACAAAACCGCTATCAACGTGCCTACAGTTTGAGACGATCGTATCCAAATTTTAAACGGCCTCCGTTTACATCGACGGGGAATACAAAGGAAGTGAAT